TTACTCTCTCTTTGTATCTGGTGGGTATCTATTCATATCCCTCGTCTCCTCCATTAGAATGTACACTTCTGGAGGGCAGGGATTGCTTTTGTCTTTCCCATCATCCCCAGGGCTTAGCCCGCTGCCTGGTACATATCAAGTGCTTAACGAATACTTGCTGAATGATTGGAAATCCATTGGGAAAAGTGAATGATGTGGTGGCAGAAGACTTCTGTCTCAGTGCGAGCCATTCGCTCTTCACTACTACTCTGACTTCAGGCAAAGGTACTTATCCTCCCGAGGTCTCCATTTCCTTGTTTGTAAGAAGAGAAAGTTGGACTGGGAAGACTGAGTCTTCTTCCAGCTCCAAATGCAGGAACACATGCTCTGTGACTTCACATCATAGATTGGATGTTGGCAGTTAACCCACTTTCCTGATCCCGGCTACTCTTGGTTCTGCCTTTTAGAAATTTGCTAGGTATTTGGAAATCCCCATGGGAAAAGAGATCCTAATTGACAAAAAGCTTGGCAAAGTCCAACTACACATTTATGCTAAAGGAAAAGAAAAGGAGGGCTGGGAAATGGGGAAATGTGCATGCTAATCTCTGTAGGGCTGTGAACTAGTGGTGGCCTTGCACAACCAACCTCTGCTCCACATGCCTCCTGGACAAAACAGCTAATCCTGTCTGGCAGGTTCTTCCCTGCCCCTCACCCACCCCAGTCATTCTCTAGACTTGGGTTAGAAAAGAATTGGCAATCTAACCTTCCCTTTTAGATTCTCTTTCTTTTTCCATCCATAAATCCTGGCTATAACCTCAGAGCTCAAGTCCTTATCTTCGGGACTGGTAGGGGAACAGGAATGTGATTTATCTACTACAGTAAGACTCCAGTAAGAAATACAAGTGTAAGGACCTGGTGTGTTTTTATCAGGTGAGGATTGAGTGTGCATGCTCTGGGCTCAGTGCACTTGGTATATGGTGAGAATGGTGAGTCATAACAAAGGATTATTAAGCTATTATAGGGGAAGAGTGGAGTAGAGTGGTGTCCTGGTGTGCCCCAGTAGGAAAAGTATTTGTTCTAGAGAGCCTAATACCCTGGATTCAAATCCTGATTCCATTGCTTAATACCTATATGACTTTGGGCACACAGTTATCTAATTTGGACAAATTCGATATCTCTGAGACCCGATTTCCTCATCTCTAAAACAAGGAGTGTGTGTGAGTGACTACATGGCTTCAGAGGCCCCTTCTAGACCTGTAATTTCGATCCAGTGAAATCAGAAAATAGTTTGGTATGGAGAGCTGATCCGGGTAGCACCGATTTTCCCATTGTTTTTGGCTTTTATACCTCTCGGTTTTTAGAGAAGAGCCACTGTTTTTCTTGGCCTTCTTAAACTCTGTGCTTTCTGAATAAAAGGGATGATAGCATCTGTTGCGCTTACCTTCTAGGGGTTGGTGTGAGGATCAGTTCGCATAAAATAGCACGTGGCTTTGCCAACCTTAAGGAACTCTTTAAGAATGTGAGCTTTTATTATTCCTAGTTCTGGAAAGGATGGCAGCTCAGGGATCTTGGAGGTATGTAGAGATAGTGTGTTTTGTAAACCTTGAAGTGCTCTGCTCTATAGCAGGTTAGGCCAAGGAGCATTTATTAAGCACCTACTGTATGCATTGTGCTAATCAATGGGCATATAAAGAAAAACAAAAGCCAGCCCCCTCACAGTCCTGATAATCATGACAGTCATTGTTATTATATGGACCTTTCTGGGCCTTAGTTTCATCATCTGTAAAATGGGGAAGTTGCCCTAGGATCTCTTAAGTACCTTTCTATTTCTTGAAACCTAAATTTTTTGGGGAAATGAAGATAATAATAGTATCCATATAGTGTTTTAAGGTTTTAAAAGGACTTTATAAATGTATCATTTGATCCTTACAGCAGCCCTGAAAAGAAGGTGGGACAATTATTCCTATTATAAAGATGAAGAAACTGAGGCAGATAGCAATTTCCCAGAGTCACATGCACAGCTAAGAAAGAATATAATTTTCTCTTTTGGGCTTGTTCTGCGTAGTGAGACAACGGAGACTTATCAGGACTTTTGAAAAGTGGATTGTTAACTTGAGCTATGGGTCTGATTCTGAGGTTGAAAACTCTGCCACTGATTTTCCATACTGAGAAATAATCTTTCTAAGGCACATTCCATGACAACATCAGATGCCTTCCTTAGGCCCCTGCTACCTCTAAGATAAAATGCAGAATCCCCCATCAGACCTAGCCCTCTCCAGTCTCGGCTCCAGGCTGTCTTTGTAGACTTCTTTCATGTCCTCCATATTCCAGTCAGCCTGGCCTGCCTGCTCTGCCCTGAACTTGGCCTTCTGTCTCTGAAGTTCAGTCAGGCTGCTCACCCTCTCCTCCTCACCTCTACCTCTTAGCATTTATAGCTCAGGTTCTGGGTCCTAGAGGAATCCAGCCTAGCTCAAAATAATTTGTATTTACTTAGCGGGGCCATCTTATCTTCCCCTACTAGAATGAAAGGTGAAGGCAGGGGCTGTCAGGTTTTATTTGTTTGTTTGCCTATCCCTAGCTTTCGGTACCATTCTTGGCACATGGTAGCTCCCTAGTAAATGCTTTTTTGTGGGGGGGGGGAGGGTGGTAGGAGGGTTTTTTGTTGTTTTCTGGTCAGTCATATTGGTGTGGTGAAGAAAAACAATTTTTCCTGTTTCTAGTCAGACTATTTGAGAGATTGATCAAACAGATAAAATTGGGGGTTAGAAAGAGGAGGAGCTCTCTTGTGGGTCAGAGCATTGTCACCCTAGTTAAGGAAGGGTACTGTGGTGCTGGTGGTTGGTTGGGATGAACCTTGGGCCCTGGCAAATAGAAATTGGTAGGAAATGTGGTCACACCTTCCACTTCTAAGCCTGTTCCCTCTTTTCTTTCTCTTTCCTTTCTGCCTTTAAGGTCATAATATTAAACTGAAATATATAGATACAAACATATCATTTGCTTGATAGATTGAGCACAGTGTGTGCAAAGTATAATACTGGGAGCTAGGGCTACCCAAACAAATGAAATACAACAGCCCCTGCCTTCTTATTTCTTTCTTTCTATTAGGGGAATGTAAGATGCAACCAGAAAAGGTTTGAGTTAAGATGGGATTCAAACCACAATATAGTGAATGTATTTTTATATGATTTGTTCATAATTCAAATTTTCATCAAGTTGCAGTAAACAGAGAGGGGGGTCACATAGCCAGAAATGCCTGGGTTCAAATCCCATACCAGTGGAGTGGCACTGGACAGATCACCTAACCTCTCTTTGCTCTAGGCAACTCTCTGAAACTGCTGAAGTGCCAATGTGCATTGATAAAAGGAATTTCCTCACTTAACAGTTCTCCATGCCAATGAAGTCACAGACCCTGTCTCTATGCCAGTTCCTGGGTCCTATCTTGATTTTTCAGCTGCTGTGTGGTGTTTGCCATAGGGTAAGGAACTTGACTTCTGGGGCTCAGAGGACTCAGATAAAAAGAAGGTTGGATTAGGTGGTCTTGGCTCTCAGGAGAGTCTCAGGATTTTATTCCTGGACAGTATCTTAAAGGTCTAACCCCCTTCCTTCGAAGATAAGAAAATTGAGGTCTTGAAAGATGACCTGGTCACAGAGGTGTCAAGTGGCAGGGCTGGGATTTGGACCCAGTTCTGACCCCAAAGCCAGTGTTCTGCCAGGCCTTTCCCAGTCTAACATTCTGCAGCCTTTTCCTCTGTGTCCTTCCTGTTTTTTTTCCTTATGGCTCACCCAGGACTGTGCTGCTTCCTCAGCATATAAATATATAGCCCTAAGTGGATCACTGATTTCAAGCTGGTTAGCTGGACCTTGGTGATTATCTAGTCAAACCTACCCATTTTACAGTTTGAGACACTGAGCTTTAGAGGTAAAGTAACTGGCCCATGATCACACCAGTCATAAAGTAGCCTTGCTGAGGTTAAAATCCAGGTCCTCAGCATCTTTGCAGTTAAGTGAGAGGGCTTTTTTGAATTGTTATTTTCCTATACCAGTTTAGTTAGTGGAAGTTCACTTCTAAATGTCACCCTAACAAAATGCTGTGTGCATGTGTATGTGTATTATACACACACACACACACACACACACACACACACACACACACACTATACATTTACACAAATATGTAGTCTTATTTTCAGGAACCCTTTTTGTTTCTTTGTATATGTTTGTGTATATGTATAGGCATATATACATACACATATACATATATACTATATATATACACACATGCACACACCTATACATAGGTGTGTGTATATGTATATATACACACACACATATGTATATATGTATAGGTATACACACACACACACACACACGCACCTAGTCAGGTTCATAGATTTTTTTGAGCTGAAAAGAACCTCGAAGATCATAGCCCAAACCCCTCTTTTTACATAGGAGGAAACTGAGTTCCAGAGAAACAAAATGACTTGCCCAGTATCACACAACTAATATGTCACAGTCGGGATTCCATTTCAGGTCCTTGGACCTCAAATCAGATTCTCTTGCCATTGTACTCAGTGTATTAGTATTGATGTCTTGGTAACGTTTTGTGTAGTTTTAAAATAATACTTTAGAAAAATTGAAAACATACTTATATGCAGTAATGGTTATATTTCTAAAAAAAGATCTCTTAAGCTGTCATTAACATGCCTTTCTGTTAGGTATAAAAAAAAACAAAACAAAAAATCCCACAGACATTTTGACCGAGGGGTACATTATGTGTCTTAAGGCAGTAGAGGATGTCTTTCTCCCCCCACTCCTCCCCCATATTCAGCCACTGACTCTAAAAGCAGCTTTTTTGTATGCATTGTATGGACGGATCCATTAAGGCAGCAGCTGGACAAATTTCAGGAACACAAAGTACTACTTAGGAAAAGACCGGCAGCCCGTTTCAGTTGCTTCCCATTCCCTAGTATACATTATTATGGTGCACTCTTAAAATTATGTGAAGTAATTTTTTTACTTACTTTTCTCCTGTAGTCTTCTCTTTTGAAGGCATCAGATACCCCTCATTTAAGAAAATCTTCTTGATGGAGTCCTTTAAAATCCATTTCTCTTCGAACTAAAATACTCAGAGGCTGCCCGAGTCCTGATGGTTCCAGCCCAAGCAAAAATCAGGAACTAGCTCTTCTGATTAGAAACCTCAAGATAGCCAGACTGCCTTTCACAGACTGCAGAACTAAGTTTCCGTCTGTGCCTTTTAAGGAGCCAGTAGTAGGAAACTGGGAGTGAAGAGCAAGGTATTTGGCATGTGAACGTGGTCTTGCATCTGAATGTTTGGATGTGGTCTTTAAGTGATCCGAGACCACTTGCCTCTTTGATCACTCACCCCCCCTATTCTGCACTCTTCTCCTTCCCCCTAAATGAAATTTCCTCGATATATTTTAAGCTCTAAAGGAAGAGAAAAGCGCTAGACCTTACTTTGCAATTCTACATATGCTTGCTCTGAGGTGGAAAACAGATGACATTTATGTTGATCAAACACTCAGACAATATTCTGTTTGCTATATCTGAACCACTTTCCTCCAAACATTAGTAAAATAGCCCAGTGTAAATATAGCTAGAGATTAATGGCAAGAGAGGAGGAAGAGGTTACCTAGTGATGCAGGATGAAAATTTGGGCAGCTAAGTGTTTGGACACACAGCTGTTATGACAGTTGCTAAAGAAGAGATTTTCAGGTTTGGTTTTTTGTTTTTTGTTTTGGTCAGAATTTATGCATGATCATGGAGGATTCAGATATAAGAAGTGTAGCTTCTCCCTACACCTCTGTTATTTTCTGGGTGGTATCAGAGGGTCATAAAAACCTTAGAGGTCATCTGATCCAACCCTTCATTTTACAGATAAAGAAATTGGCCTTTAAGCACCTGGAGTGACTTGTCCAGAGTCACGTTTGTCAAGAAGGAAGCATAGGGAGGATTTGACCTGACACCATTTGTGTCCAAATCTAACAATCTTTGGACCATAGTGCACTCTCTAAATATGTGTATTATCTGTCAAATGAACAAGAGCATGGACTAGATGCTCTTTCGGTTTGTATCTGCCTTCACTGTAGTTTATGATTCTCTTAAAAAAAAATTTTTTTTCAAGGTCATGTATCAGTTAATCTTTTGAGTTTTCTTTCAAGCTCTATAAATTGTAGCATTAGACATTTCTGTCTCTACTCCTGCCTCCCCAGGGAATGGAATGTTTCTAGGAGCATCACAGGAAGAAACCTTAGTGATCATCAAATCCTATGTTACAGATGAAGAAACTGAAACTCATGTTGGTAAAGGTCTTGGTCCTAGATCTCATTGCAGATAAATGGAAGAGTTGATCTTTCCCTGTGTCTGATTGCTTCTAGATTCAGAAGCATGCCGAGAGACTTGTTACAAAAAATAAAATGAATTCCAATATTAACCCATGTCTGAAAAGTATATGTCTTCTTTTGGACCACTCTGATCCCATCTTTTTACTCTTATCATTCACTTCCTCATTACCTTTGTTGTCTAAGTTTGTTGATCTGCCATTACCTAGTAAAATATTTCTTCCTCAAGGGCTAGGGTTGGTCCCCCATTGTACGTGTGTCCTCTTTCTTGTGTGTCAGTTTCCTTCTTCCAGCTAGGCACAAGCCTCCATTCTCAGAGTCCTCATGTGTCTAGTCATTTTACCTGGGTTCTGGTCTGACATTTAGACCACTTATGTGACCTCTAGCAAGTCAGCTCACCTTTTGCTCCTCAAGTTCTTTGAGAGAGAGAGAGAGAGAGAGAGAGAGAGAGAGAGAGGTTTAATCCAGACAATTTTTAAGGTCCCTCTCTTTTTGGAAAATTGTCATTATTACATGTGCATATAACATGTACATATATGTGCAGTTAATAATGCAAGTGCTAATTGTACCATGTGACACAAGAATTTCTCATTTTTTTTACCTATTAAACCATCTCATTCTCTTATTCAAAGAGAAATTATTCTCTTATTCTAAAAGAAACTTCCTTGGACCCCAGAGTTCATCTGGATTATATGAGAGCCTTTGAAATGTGAGAGTCCAGAAATGTGACAGAAAGCCAGTGTGTTTAGCACAAGTTCCTGTCACATGGTAGACTCTTAATAAATGTTTATTGATTGATTGATTGGAATGGCCACAGCCACTGAGTCAGAGAAAGATTTGGGTGATGTGAGTGCAGAATTTGATTGGTTCCAACCTTCATGCCAGTTAAAGAGTAGCAGTTACTTGAGGGCAGCAGCCCTTATTTGAAAGGTTGTGGAGGGGGAAGGGAACAAACATTTATTAAGCACCTGTCTGGTAGGCATTATGCTAATAAATGCTTTATGAATTTTAGCTCATGAATTAGACTTGCTTTGCTTGGCCTCTAGAGGACAAAATTAAGAGCCCCAGAGGAGGGAGGGATAGGAGTGGGGGTTTTATAGAGGTAGGTTTTTTGGTTTGATGTAAGGAAAAACTTCCTAACTATTAGAAGTAGCCCCAAATAGCTTGGGCTTCCTTGGGAGATGATGGCTTTCACCTCATTGGAAGTCTTTAATCAGACTGTTGGTGATTCTTTTTTCAGGTATGGCTTGGACCAGCTGATCAATGAGGGAGAGGTCTCTTTCAGCTCTGTAATTTTTCTGAATGAGGAGCCTTGGGAAGCAGTGAGTGGACACCCAGGCACCGAAGCTATTTAAGCACAGGATTGTTGGAATAGGAAACACTGCACTAAATCCTGAGATGGTGGATACAGTGTAGATGTAGTCTAGTGTAAAGTCTATATGGAAATGGGTTACAAACTAGACCAAATGTAGTCAGGTTATAGGCTGGATATGGGGGCCTCTGACATCCTTTTCAGCTCTGTGGTTTTTGACATTAAACCATGGTTTGTATGGTTACATGGCACCACCTCTAACAAAGCCATGGAAACAGCAAGGGAAGCCAGTTTGTAATTTCTTACCATCTCCGTCTTCCATCATCCCATCTAGCCTCTCTCCTCACTGCCCCATGAGCCTCCCCTGTCACTTTCTCTATATGTGGTCTGTAAGATTATTATAGTATATTTTATGGTTAGTCCTGTTCTCTTTGAATTCAACTTCCCCTATGAGAGAAGGGCAGCTAGGTGTTGCAATGGATAGCGTGCTAGACCTGAAGTCTGACTCATCTTCAAGAGTTCAGATCCAGTGCCAAGACATTTACTAGCTATGTGACCCTAGGCAAGTGACTTCACGCTGTTTACCTCAGTTTCCTCATCTGTCAAATGAGCTGGAGAAGGAAGTGGCAGGCCACTCCAGTATGTCTGCCAAGGAAACCCCAAATGGGGTCACGGAGAGTTAGACATGACTGAAAAATGACCGAACAGCAACAAATGTCTGTCTATCAGTCTGTGATACTTTACCTTTTACAAAAATGAGATCAGTAGCTTTTCCCCAAGCTGTCTTTCTGTCCTCCCATTACCAAGTCCAGTCTGCAGTAGTCTTCTGTATAAGCAGCAGTCAAGTCCTAGGGTGTTGCCATATTTTCTGCCAAGCCAGGCTTGGGAAGGGAACAGATGAGCTGGCCTCCCAGCTCCCCTTAAGCCTGCAGGTGTGTTATCAGATTCGACATCCTTGGCCCTGTGCCAGGTCTAGACTAAGCCTGCTACCTGGCTCACTCCAGTCTTCCAGCCAGTTTAACCCCTTGACCACTGTAAGCAATTACCCAGGGCTTAGTTCTCCTTGTGATGCCTGTGAGACATTACATTAATATAATGGGTTCCTTTTGTAATCCTTTATTTTTTATTTTATGCATTTAAAAAACTTTATTCTGAGAAGGAGCCCATAGAGTTCACCAGACTGCCCAAGGTAGGGGGGGTAGTTTGAGGTTCATGACAAAAATGGGTGATGGATCCCTGTTTTGAAGTCCCATCTGCATTAATGAAGGGGTTTGCCTGACTGAAGCCTTTCCCTGTCATCTTGAATACCAATGCCTTCTCTCTGTTGATTATTTGAAATTTATCTTGTCTATGTCTTGCTTGTGGGGGCAGCTGGGTGGCACCATAGTGGATACAGTGCTGGGCCTGGAGTCAGGAAGACTCATCTTCCTGAGTTCAAATCTGGCCTCAGACACTAAGTAGCTGTGAGACCCTGGATAAGTCACTTAACCCTGTTTGCTTCAGGTTCCTCATCTGTAAAATGAACTGGAGAAGGAAATGGCAAACTAATCCAGTATCCCTGCCAAGAAAACCCCAAATAGGGTCATGAGTCAGACACAACTGAAACGGATGAACAGCAAACATCTTGCTTGCTTGTACATGGTGGTTTGTGTGCCGGCTCCCCAATTAGACTGAGCTTATCAAGAGAACAGGACTGTCTTTTACTTTACTTTATATTCCTAGGGCTTAGCACAGTTCTTGGTACACAGTAGGCACTTAATAAATGCCTATTGACTGACTAAAGAAGTTACAAGTCAGGACCCACAAAATATGCCATATTTTCTACACAGTTATTAGGGGAAAGTACTTTGCAAATTATAATGTGCCAAAGAAACATGAAGCTATTGTTATCATTCATATTAGCAGTAGTACTAATAAAAGAGTATTAGTTACTAATTTAATTAATTACTAATACATTATTTAATTACTAATAAAAGAATAACTAGCTAGGCTTATGTCTAACTTGCATGACATTCCTGGCCTCCTAAAAAAACCCAAATCATTGGAATTTTCAGGGGCAGCTAGGTGGCACAGTGGATAGAGCACCAGCTCTGGAGTCAGGAGGACCTGAGTTCAAGTCCGGCCTCAGACACATGATACTTACTAGCTGTGTGACCTTGGGCAAGTCACTTAACCCCATTGTGTAGCCAAAAAAAAAAAAAAGAATTTTCTATTTAGAATTGGAAGCAACATTGGAGGTCTTTTTGAAAGCATCTGTAATTTGTTTTACTTTTCTGTGCTTACTTGTTACATGGGAGGGCTTTTATTGAGGAGGGAAGGGCAAGGGGACCTTATTAGACAAGTGAAGGATAGTAATAGTGATTAAAAAGAAAAGAAGAAGAAGAAGAAACAAACATCAGAGCAGAAGAAAGCTGAAAAGGTGACCCAGAAAAGCAGAGCAGTATTGGACCTTTTGAAAGAATTTACTATATACTTAAAGTAATCCAACTTCACAAGCTAGAGATTAGCAGTCCCTTTGTG